AATGGCCAGAGGGTATTAAACATCTGCTATCTTGATGTAGGAACGGTCCAGAATGGCATCGTCTTCGCTCGGCCACACAGGCGTTCATGTTGAAAAAAACGTCAGCTTCTGTATACATTGATGAACAAGTAGACGTTGCAAACGACCTCATCACCCGGATGTCTGCAACGTCATACACACCAGAGGAATTCAGAGATGAGCTCTTCAAATACGCAACAGAAAGTAGGTTTCATACATTTACGTGTACATTACATTGGGGATTTCATTATCTGAGTTTAGCTCAATTAGTAAAATCACTGTTATCTTTATCATATTCTACCCACCAAAAGTTTAGTCTCACTAGTGTAAATGTTGCCACTTTTTCGATCAACTGTTCTAAACTAGATTTTGCAAAATCTTCAATACATTTTAAATTACTGTTTACACATGATTTGATGTATTGTAAAACAAAGGCGTAACGTTGAAACGATTATTGTCATTAGTTCAATAAATGATAAAACTCGTTGAAAATTGGCTAATTCTTAACAAACCTCTACACCGAAACAGCAATTTGTTGCATGATCCTCGTGCAATTCATCTGCACAAGGTTTGCAGTTGGTTCCCCCAAGTTCGTGGAGAAATTCATCTTCGAAAGTGAGTGCTTTAATCTGAGTCTGAACTTTTGATGGGTAGTATACATTTGTCTTGGTCCCTTAGCTCTGAATCCTAATTCATCTACTCAAAAAATATAAAACAGTATTTCAACGGAAAATATCTTTCGCTTCCCTTTTATAATGATTTGGTTTCATCTGGTCTCCGACAGCGTAAACAATGGTTTCATCTGGTCTCCGACAGCGTAAACAATACAGTCTTGACGCACGACTCAAGAGAGGTTTCACTTCTGAAAATTATTAGGAATCGTTGAGATTATCGGTGATATTCTTTCCGCCTCTTTATGCCAGTATTCAAACGCCCTTGACGACAGAGGCTATACACTAGGAATTACAAGCTCTGTGGCGATGACTGACTGACTGACTGACTGACTGAGTTTGGTTTTACGCCGCTTTTAGCAATATTCCAGCAACATCACGGCGGGGGACACCAGAAATGGGCTTCACACAATGTACTCATGTGGGGATTCGAACCCGGGTCTTCGGCGTGACGAGCCAACGCCTTAACCACTAGGCTACCCCACCGCCCCTGTGGCGATGAAGTAACACAACCAAGCTTAGTTTAATAAATGTAAGCGTCGTTTATGACATTTGTATGACAAATGCTAATAGAATATGCTCAATAGAAATATATATAATAGTTTATATAATGGTATAAGTATGTTTGATTTGTTTCTGATTGGTTAATGATACAGAGCATATTATTCAAATTTGTAAGTAAAGCGAATTCATCTAATAGTGGGTAAGCCTATTATTCATTTAAACGTTGTGTTTTCTCTTCATAGAGAAGTTCACATCCATTAATTCCTCAGTATCCTAATGGACACATGCAGTGGTCAACGTTTTCTCTTCATAGAGAAGTTCACATCCATTAATTCCTCAGTATCCTAATGGACACATGCAGTGGTCAACTCGACAGAGCAAATAGGTAGAGCTGTGGTGATATATCGTAGTATCGATAATCGTGATACTTTATCTGACGATAAATATATTATATATCGTACTTTTTTCGTATCATGATATGTATCGCTGACCTTAAAATTGTTAATTTTCACTAGAAATAAACGGTTATGTCAACATTTACACTGTTGCTATCAAAAAAATATTTTTTTAAAGAAAATATGCATCGAATCGAATCGCATCGTTCCAAGATATCGCGATACGTATCATGTCGTAAAATTTCTGTATCGTCACACCTCTCAAAATGTTCATATGAAAGAATTTAGCTTGCTCATTATAGTAACTACGGTATATAACAAAATGACGGACACCACTAACTGTTTTGTTGAGCACCGTCAGAGGTATAATATTTTAGTCACAATGACCACTGTATGAATTCTTGTCAATATTTTAACTACAGTTATAACAAACAATTGGTGGCCCCCTTATGTTCATAATAACTCTAGTTTACTGTATACTCACATATCATTTCACTGTTTAAGGTATTGGAGTTGTTGCTTTCAACAAACGACTTGGTTTCCTGGATCCCAAAGGATCAGCCGTGTCATCCGAAAACCAGGTCTATCTTCATGCAATCAAATCCTTCTTTGAATTGATGTTTAAGGATTTGGGACCTCCACTATACAAGCTCTTTCCTACGAAGCTGTACAAAGAGTTTTCGAAGGTTGCAAATGAAGCATACGGGTAGGACACTTAGTTCAAGATCAAGTAATTCAGTGAGTTAGTTTGGTTTTACGCCGCATTTAGCAATATTCCAGTAATAACACGCCGGGGGACACCAGAAATGGGCTTCACACATTGTACCCATGTGGGGAATCGAACCCGGGTCTTCGGCGTGACGAGCGAACGCTTCAACCACAAGGCTACCCCATTTCCCCACGTAATTCAGTAATGCCACAATGTATCAGATTTTTGCGCAAGGAAAGCAATATATGAAGAAGATACCAGGCACTTTCTCCTGAGTGAAGCGTTGATATAAGCAAGGCAAGCTGAATCTTAGATTCGAACACTTGTACGACCATTGGTTAATGATACGCTTCAGAAATGACACTGCCAATTGTCTCCCCAGACCACTCAGCTGCTCAGTAGTGTATAATAGACAAAACTAAATGTTTTGTTTGTTTGTTGTTTAACGTCGTACTCAGCAATATGCCAGCTATATGACGGCGGTCTGTAAATAATCCGACAAAGCAGTGATAAACATCATGAACAACAATGTATGCAGTTGGGATACGATGACATGTGTCAACCAAATCAGCGAGCCTGACCATCCGATCCCGTTACTACAGGCATGCATTGCTGAAGACAACATATAGGCTTTACTCATACCATTGTAAGTGCAACATTGTGAGAAGTAGTAAGCTTGAAAGGTAAAGAGTAAATGTTGAAGTTAATTTTTAAGGTCACAATGAAAATGTATCATCCCTGCACTGTCTGCATTGTAAACGTCACAGGTGGGCAAGGTTAAGTTTAACAACACAACACTGATTACCAGCTTTGATCACTTGTGATTACAGGTACGGTCGTGTTCAGATACGAGAACTTCTTGAAACTGTTGACCGTCAGATGAAAGACGGAACCTTTGACCCTGAAAAACCATACCTGATTCTGCAACTACTGGCGAGTCCCAAGACAACAGACAAGAGTGTGGATGCCATTCTGTTAGATCTGCTGACGGCAGGAACTGATTCGGTAAGCAGCGCATCAAGTTGGTTGGCTGGTTGATGTTTATAACGCAGCACCAGTGGTACAGCTATCTGGTGGTGGTCTGCACATAATCGAATCTGTATCATAGAGATTGACATGACCATTGATCTACACAACTGGGATACGATGACATGTGTCAACCAAGCCAGCATGCCTCACCACCCAATCCTGGTAACTGCCTCTTACGAGCATGGGTTGCTGAAGACCAATTCTAACCCTCAATGTGTCCACAGAAGATCATTTCTTTACATATTGTACACCTATTTTCCAACCGTTGTTCCATTGCAGACTGCAAAAAATATGGAGATCCTGCTGCTTAGTCTGGCGTTAAACCAAGACAAACAACAGAAGTTGTACGAAGAAATTGTAAAAGTCATTGGCCACAAGGGACACGAGCTGACTGCTGAACACATTTCCAACATGCCTTACTTCCGCGCATGTATGAAGGAATCTTTCAGGTACTGCTTATAAGAATCAATATTATTAATGAACATCAACTCATTGAAATCATATAACATTGACGTGTACTTTTCATAATGTAAATGAAACGCTGAGGAAGACTATGGCCATTCTGCTGCTGCTGCTGCTGCTGCTGATGATGATGATGATGATGATGATGGGCATTTATTTTTCAGACTGCACTTTCCCGTCACATTTGGGAGCCTGAGAATTCTTCCAGAAGACGTTGTCGTTGATGGTTATCTCCTACCTAAAGGGGTGAAGTATATTTTTGGTCGTTTTTGTATATCAGAAAGAGATATTATAGTCAGAATGGAACAAGAAAAGGGACACGGTAATATTTTCAAATAAGAGCAAAAGGCCACCTTTGTAGAACCGTTGTACATAGTGTAGAAACATGCATACGTGGGTTCCTATCGAGGACAAAGGGGATCACCATGGCTTCCTATGGCCGTCTGTGATATCTGTCGGCGAAGTGGGGTGTTGATGATTTTAATGGGGTGTCACCCATTTTGTCCGGGGTGTTGTCAGCAATTTTGTACACATGTACTAACGAGGGTCAGCATTTTTGTACATAAATATTTTTTAAAACCATGCTTAAAAATTTGGGGAAGAAGGTTAATTGATGTTGTTCATGACATGCAGGGGAGTCACTTGGTACAGATATCTCAGGAGGTGTGTGGGTGTGGGTGGGGGGTGTCATTCACGTTATACATGCTTCTCCATAAAAATCATCATCACCCACGCACCCACCCACTCCCTAGCCATAAAGTGTGATCGGTCCCTAAGAGGCGACTAACGGGATCGGGTGGTAAGGCTCGCTGACTTGGTTGTCACATGTTATCGTTTTACAATTGCGTAGATCGATGCTCATGCTGTTGATCACTGGATTATCTGGTCCAGATTCGATTATTTACAGACCGCTGTCATATACCTGGAATATTGCTGAGTGCGGCGTTAAAAACAAATCTACCAACCAATCTGTCAATAAGCGCTTACCAATTACAGATGATGACCTACATGAATGGGGTGGGAGACGCGGACCGAGGACGTCCAGGAGGATGTCCGCATATCCCAGATAATTCCTTCAATGCTATAATGAACAAATAATGTAATAGCATTTATATTTACAAATCTGCAACATTTCTGTATTCTCTCGATCCTTGCAACTTCCGACTGGCTTGCAATGTTTTTATGCTGTATCTATGTTGATGTTTGTTTCAGACCTGTGCCTTCGCGAACAACCGCCGTCTTCTCCTCAATAGCGAGTATTTTGAGAACCCCAAACAGTTTCTGCCAGAGCGGTGGCTGAGAGATGACTCCACTCTCAAACGGGAAAAAGAATATCCAGCCTTTGCCTTCTTGCCCTTCGGGTTTGGTCTCCGGAACTGCCTGGGAAGACGCTTTGCTGAACAAGAGCTCTGGCTGGGTGTCACAAAAGTACGTCTTGTCTTACAAGCCCTCCCTTTAAATGCCACTGTCTTTGTATGGATATCATTAAACGATATCACGGATATCAACCTGTATTAGCATGTCCAACAATTTATGACTTAAAAAGCCACCAGTAATGTGTACATTACTCCTGATGCTTTCAAATAATGTAACCCCGATTGACATTTTTCTGCGGTTTATCTTCAATGAGTATTTTACATTGTAATCTCCCGTTTCAGATAATCCAGAACTTCGCTATTGAAGAACATGAGGAGGAAAACAACTTCGAGATGATTTACACCACATTTGGTCAAGTGAAGACACTACCTAAGTTTATTTTTACTCCAAGATAAAGGAGATAAATGTAGGGTTCCCGTCTCGTTTATCTTCATCACCATCTTCATCATTTAATACATGTCATTGCAGGGGTTTTCACTTTCATACAGAGGCTGTTCTCTAATCCTATGCTATCAATTTGTTGATAAGTGCGAAGGGGCGGTAGGGTAGTCAAGTGGTTAATGCGTTCGCTCATCACGCCGACAACTCCCCACATGGGTACAATGTGTGAAGCCCATTTCTGGTGTCCCCAGCTGTGATATTGCTGGAATATTGCCAAAAAGAGCGTAAAGCCACACTCAGTACTATGTGTGAAGCCCATTGGTGTCCCCAGCTGTGATATTGCTGGAATATTGCCAAAAAGAGCGTAAAGCCACACTCACTTTGTAACCTTGTCTACTATTTGTAATAAAGAATTACTGATAGACAAGCAAATCCGAGCTTCATTATAGATTAGATAGGTATAACTGTTAATGTATTCATGTACATTCTGTTTATGTGAATATGTGTCATGTATAAAACTGTACTTGAACTCTAGAAGAAGAGGACGGTCGAAGTGGTAGAGAATCACGGGACACGGGACAATGTGTCCCCAGTCCCGGTCCCACTCTTGGTGGACGCCTACCAGTGTCCCTCAATGAAGGATACATACTTCCACTGGGACTCACGTTCACTTATGTACGACCCAAACAACCCATAAGTAACATAGTAACGTTGTAATAACGTTTGTATGTTTTTGGTTAAATCCAATTGTATAATGTGAACTTCGTAATTTGCCCGTCACCACCCACCACTCAAACGTGTGCACAGAAAAAAAAGTTTTGTTCGTATTTTTTTGTAGAAAACTACTCGGATAATCTTTTAGACATAAATTACTTTAGAAAAATAAAAAAGAGGCAATAAATGTTACTCGTTTTACATTTTACATCTTATTCAACTTTAGCTGTATTAAATAAAGTTTTAATGTATTATTGTTACCCAATCCAATGCTACAACCATACTCTAGTTTAGTATATTGTATATGTTGTCGGTTTTGTCGATAATGTAACATATTTTGTCTTAAATTTACTTGTACATTTCCAGTGTGGCCAAAACATTTGCGGACGTCAATAAACTTGTAATTAAGCTTTTGCAATTGAATTCTCTAAATGTTGCACGTCATTTTGGAGGTCTTCCTGTGTTGCAAAACGTTACCCACCAGTTCACACGTACATCATTGACTGGAGCAATGGGTGACCAATTCCCCCGCAATTGTTCGCCGTTGCAGCCTTTATGGTTTCCTTGTTTGTTTCTTTCTTTCTTACTTTGTTGTTTAACGCGGTACTCGGCTATTTTCCAGCTATAGGGCCCGGACGTAGGTCACGGCACTTCGACAGACCGTAGTACTTCCGGTGACAAACAACGTTTCATACCTTTTCGAATGGTCCCATGGTTGTCAGTTGACAATAAGGAACCGATAATCCTTGCAGAAATGACATATTTCCGATCTGACCATCCCCAAATTAACCAGCTATCACGACTATCAACAGCTGTCATACAGCTAATCGAATCTGGTCCTGACAATTTTCGCAAGTAGGTTACGATGACATGTGTCAACCAAGTCAGCGAGCGTGACCACCCGATCCCGTTAGTCGCCTCTTTCAAGATTAACCCCTAACTGTTGAGGTTCGTGTCAACTTCAGGTACCAGAAACATGTTACTCAAGAGGTCCAATTACAACGACTGTATTTTTTAATAAGAATCCACCTACTACTCCTTAAAATGCAGCACAATATACTTGATCAAGGTGGCCGTCTCTTACGACAAGTATGGGGGGGTTGTTAAAAAGCAACGTTCAACCATACAGTGACAGGAAGAGTTTATGTTATATATATATATATATATATCTGATATCTGTCATAAAGGAATTAAAGACAGTACAAGATATCACGATTTAAGTCTTAGGGCTTACAGTACCTTCGCTAGACGCAAGCCAGATTTACATCATCCCTTCAGCATTGTATCTCATTGTACTGAGATTTAACCATTACTTCAAACAACAAATATACTATGGATGAAGAGAGAGAGAGAGAATGGGAGGTGGATGGATGATTGGAGGGTTGAGAGGCAGAGGCAGGAAGACAATTAAGAACCAATTCCCGCAACAATTTCAATCTCTTGTTTACTTACCACAACTAACAAAATGCTTGCTGAGATTGCAGCTACTGAAATATTATTTTCTTGTAGCGCTCGAGAACACTTTGCACCTTCAAATAGAGACAAACATTTTTTTCGGTAACTTCATCCAGTAAAAGATAAGATGGTGAGAGTTCCAAGTGTTTTTACAGCATTCTGCAACTTCTCCATCAGCGTTAAAACAGGGCACCCCACAACCAGCAGCTACAACTTCAGTGTAGTTTATATTCCTCGGCACCCATGTCTTCAAACACGATAGCGGCCTTGTTACTAACAGACAGTTATTTTGACAGTGTGGAGCTTTTCCGAAATGTAATTCTACACGAACGTGGTAAAAATAGGTTTGGCAATACAATCAACAAAACTGCCCGATAAAGCACAGAGTTAGTGTATGTTGTTCTTGGTTGTGGCAAGAGTATTCCACGTATGCTGTCTTTTCGGTCGGTTGTCAGATCGGTATGTTAAATGAACTGACATAAAGAGTCCATACCGAAACGTCCAGTTGTAAACAAGCTCTGGGTTATTATTTTGTTATGTCATTATGATGTGCAAAAGGTCACAAACTACGTGATTTTCTTAAATGTTCTCATCTGTTCATGGTTGAATTAAATTACAAGATACGTTATGTTGAGAAGAGAACCCCTTGTATAGATAGCACTTTGTGTTGTACAACTAATATCTAAACACATGTGTCATGTTCGATTTCTGTGCACAGAAGACTTTCTTTGCTCGCTGTATAATGTAGGGATGTTTCAAATGTGAATGTAATGAGCCCACATTACAACCTTGTTTTCTGCCAGGAAAAACTCTGTGATTTTATTTTGTTGTATATTATGATTCACGTTTATTTGAATTTCGCGATCGTTCTCAAATATATCAGTGAATACGGCGACAATGGAAAAACTACGTTGCCGTAGTTCACTGTGGAGAAACCCTTATACTGAGTTATAATTCACGAGTCGTGCTAACGATGATTCTAAGTGTCCTTGGTTTCGCCAAACTCGAACACTTTGGATTTTTCTCCCACCAGAAACTTGTTCAGTTACATAACTGAAATTGTCACTTACTTCTTTATTGCATCAAAAGAGAAGACTGATTTCGTTTTAGGTTAAGGTGTTCTTTGTCTGAGGCAATCATAGGTCATGACTGAGAAGTAAGTGATTTTGTGAATGAGTGAGTCGATCAGTGTGTGATGCTAAGAACTGACTTTTGCTCATTCTCCTTATGTTTGGACCCATAGCTGTGTACACAAAGTGAGTGGGAGGACGGAGGGGGCCGTTGTTGAGTGCGTCAGTGAGTGATTGAGGAAAGAGGTGACTATTGCTTCTCTGTTCATTCCCCAACGTTTGGATCCCCAGACAGCTACGCCACATATAAGCCACAAACCCCTTTCTAAGCTATAAGTGAGCTGGGCTATAATAGCGTTCAGTCCGACTGACTATGTATATGTGTTTATGAATCAGGGTAATATTAAACTAATATATTTTCCTCCTTCCACGTTGGGAGGACATGTTGGAAGACATGGTGGTATTCCAAGTTAAAGAAAAAATATTATATATAATATCTGCAAAAAGTATTACTTGTTGCAAATTAGTCAGTATAACGATGTTCAAGGACATGCTAATAATTATAAGGTAATTGTAGAACCTTGTGCTGCGCTGTTGATCTCACACAGCACCAGTTGACGCCTAGTTCTGAAGTGTCTTTATAGAGAGGCAGCATCCCTCTACAAATGTTTCAGGAATTTCGAAAAATAGCAGCGTGAACGCTTTTCCTTTCATTGGTGGAGAAAGGTGGGTTTCAGTAGTACCTGGTAAGCATAAAATCAGTCGACCCAACGCCGAATCCGTCTGTTGAAATCGTAGTCTATTTTTACACCCGGCCTTCAAAGCTGATGACGCAGAACCATAGACGTGAGCGCAGCGACTGTTTTAATTGAATCACCGTTAAACCGACATGTCAGCATTTACCAAGATTGCATCAGCAACTGTCTCTGCTGTAACTGTTTAAAGGAGATGGGCTAACAGAAGGTTTTCACTTAAATGACTGTATATGAGTTATTGGGCGACACGAGAACAGTGTTTAGATGTACAGCACAAGGAAACTACAAATAAACATAGCCCTAGTATGGTAGAACGAGGTATATCGGCCACTATCTTAAACATATATCGGAGCGGGTTCGTTGTCTTGCTGTCGGACAGATGTAGTTTACGAGAACCAATAATCATGAAATATGAAACATTTACTTCAAGTACGTTTCTATTTTTACATTTCAAAAACGTGATATACCACCTGTGGTAATTATTTTAAAGTCATTTGATGTAACTACTGTACTGTAAAATACAAGATTGCGTGTGTATCTCTGAGAAGATAGACCTTGTCAGAACACAACCATCGATCTTCCTTGCAGCCTCTTGTTCTGAGATCTGATATCTATCATACGTCTATATACCGCTGGCTGGAATGTCAAATGTCTGTTCATGTTTGATAACGGAACCTAAGACACCTATATTTTCTATACAGTAAAGTTTTTGCTTTGAGTTGAGCTTGGTAAACTGACCTGAATGTGGAATATTTCTTTCTAAATTTAATCGGCTTTGTCTTATGTGTCTTTGTATTGATACTTATGATCTGAACAGTCATTCGATGGTGACCCGTGAAGAACCGGGTTAGAATTAATCTTGAGTAGCCCATGCCTGTCGTAAGAGCCTGACCAACCGATCCGTTAGTCGCCTCTTACGACAAGCGCGGGTTACTTAAGATCAATTCTAACCCGGATCTTCACGGGTCCATCACCAATGAACATCACACACTGTACTCTTCATGGGAAGCTCTTCTGTTCTTCTGGTCGTTACTGCCATTAATATTAACATGTCTAAATATCGTGTGTCTGTTTCAAATACGCGTTTCGCTATCCGAGCAAACATAAAATGGACAATACGACATGAGTCGTCTTTCTCAGTCGAAAGATACCTCAGGGTGCATGGTTTCATCATACATCAAGCAGTGGAATAATGTTCAAAGTGGCTTCAAACCCACTGACTCACTCACTCCGACAGAATCGTAAATACTTTTACCAATAAGAAACAAGCACACAGAACGCATTAAAACGATGGGTGTCGTAAAGGCGATTTAGGGGACTCAGTGGTCAGGCTCGCTTATTTGAGTGATACATCTCGGTTGGTTGACCGATGCTTATGAAGTCAATGACTTGACCGCTTGGTCAAGGCTCGATACTTTACTTGGTATTATAGCTGGAGTATTGCTGAACAACAAACCCACAAAACAATAATACACGAGAACATGTGTAACTAATGATAAGTGAGTGAGTCAAGATTTATAGTCACAATATAACTAACAACAATCCAGAGAATGAGCAATCCTACTTAGAAACAATCATGTGTTTACAGGTTGAGCTGGAATTGAAGATAAAATCCCGTCTTACGTAATTAAATCTGAACCAAATACATTGACCAGTATCCCTGTAGGACTGACTGAGTTTGGTTTTACGACGCTTTTAGCAATATTCCAGCAATATCACGGCGGGGGAACACCAGAAATGGGCTTCACACATTGTACCCATGTGGGGATTCGACCCTGGGTCTTCGGCGTGTCGAGCCAACGCTTTAACCATTAGGCTACCCCACCGCCCCTATCCCTGTAGGAGGATACAGTAAATGACTAGTACCATTATTTCTCATCGTGAAGAGTTTCTATCTACCCAAGCAATAAATAAATACCTTTTTTGAAAAACAGACATTGCATTAAATAAATGAAACTCACCCACAAATTTGATACAACTTATCTAAACAAGGTCGTTGATCCCCTTGAGTATAGGGAAATATTTACAAGCATGTCAGACTAAGTGTGATATTTATCAGTGTTAGTGTCTAGCAGTCCCTCCATATCAGGGAGGGGTTAGATCTGTGGCAACGGATGGCCTGACAGGGTCTGCGATATAAATCAATGGTGCGACCCCGCAGTGAACCGCGCATCGTTTGACTGGCACACAAAGGGAAGTAACTCCTGCTACCTTTAGTCCGAGAGGACTGCGGACAGCATTGCTGCAATATCCGAGTCGAGTTGTGAAAAATAACTGTGGTTATAGTTTCAATTAAATACAAAATCAATTTGTTTGAAGTTTTGTTGAAGAAGGAGAAGTTGAGAAGGAAGCGAAGGAGGAAGAAGAACAAAGGAGACGTTTGTACGTTAACACCAACAGGAGAGCCATTCATTAATGTTCAAAAGAAGCAGATAGATTTATAAGCATTTGATGACACACTGGATGCATAGTTTAGACGGGTTATGATAACATGTCTGAAGAGGACATATCAAAAGAACATTTCTTGATCTTCTAGTGCGATATTATGTATGTCACGAATTTAATTGTTCCTTATTTATTATTTATAACAACCGAAATTAGTTACATAGTGTTTGCTTATTTATTTTGCTTGTTTGTTTATGTATTTATTGTTTAACGCCCCACTCTGGAATATACCAGCTATTTCAGGACGGTCGCGTCCACCCGGTCCCGTTAGACGGTGCTTAAAAGCACGGGTTTGTGAAGACCAATTCTTATCCGGATCTTACAAGCATTCGCAATAGAGGTTAGTACCTACCACGCTTTAGTATCTACCACTACGTCGTCTGTGTTATGTCTTTGTTAAACATCGGAATCGTGGAAATTAGAGCTCACGTCATGCATGCTTTTATCTGAAGAGTATTCGATCTATTCTGATATGCTCAAGAACCTGTGTGATGGATAAATCTGTGTGCTGGGAAGGAAAGGTGAGATTGGTCTTAAGATTGTAACATATTTTGCCGGCACCCTCCTATATCTCCCGGTGGGAAGTATGTCTCATCTGTGTTGTCGAGGACTGGTACACCTTGAACTACTCGTTTGCATGTACAGACTGTAAATACGAAACAACTATGTCATTCGCAGCTGCATCCATGCTTATGATGAACAGAGTTGCGTCCCCTTTTTCTTAGCTTCTTATGCTAATGTTCCGAAAGGGAATCTTCGAAAAGATCTTTCAAGTAGCATCGTTATTTCAACCTAAAACTGTCCCATCAGCCATAACCAAGTATTGGGTATAGACACCCCTATGGCGACAAGGGCAGCATTAATAACACCAGAAGGACATTCGTGTTTTATGTTCTGAACATTTTTTAATTTCCAAGACTATCGCAGAAATTCTAAAATGAGTTGGACTGCTTTTCAAATTCATTCTCTAGGCTGTTTCACTGCTTGATGGTAGGACGCCAGGTAAGGATCGAAAGGACAAGTGAGTTAGTTGCTGACGGTGTTACGTCTAATGCGGATCGAAGGGTCAATTTGTTTGACGTTGGCTGATGGTGTAACGTCAAATTAGGATCGAAGGGTTCACTTGTTTGACGTCAGATGATGATGTTCCGTCTAAGGGTGATATGAGAGTTAACTTGTTTGATGTTGGTTGATGGTTTTACTCCTAATGAGAATCGAAGGGTTAATATGAGTGACGATGGCTGATGGTTTAACGTCAAATTAGGATCGAAGGGTTCACTTGTTTGACGTCAGCTGATGATGTTCCGTCTAAGGGTGATATGAGAGTTAACTTGTTTGACGTTGGTTGATGGTGTTAGGTCTAGTGAGGATCAAAGGGCTAACTTGTTTGACGTTGGCTGATGAAGTTACATCCTATGAGGATCATACCTGTTTACTCTTATTCAGAATTGATCATCTAAAAGCTGAATATAGCTTAAAACAACTTGCACATGCGACCAGTTTCCTAAGAATATATATCGATTTCCGAGAATATACAAGTTAGTCTATACAGACGACCCGCTACCGTTGCAGCATTCGTTCTGGGCTTATCAGAGTATGCTAATATAGACACGTTTAAGCGTGGCCTCTACAAACAGCCTGTGTCATTTGTTTCCGCCTAGAAAGCAAACAAGAGCCTGTCCTTGGCCGCCATTGTGCCACGTTGCCATGACAACGTAATAATAACGTCATTCATCAAACTAGAGGGTCCACAATTCCTTTTATGGAGGAGTGTATTTACCTTCCGATGTGAAGTGCAATCCCCAGAGAACACGCAGTTTAATCTGCCCAGTCGATAGATAAATGTGCATTATCATATTGAAAGTGATAACTGATACATCTTATTTTTAAGGTTGTGACTTGCATTGTTGTCGACTTTAATATGATAAACTGTAGAGTCAATCCAACAGATTAACATGCAGGGAAGATAACTGTGAACAATTTGTTATCGTGTTTAATTGTACTCAGCGTTTGAAATAATCGCCGGCCCGGAGGCCCATCGCCGGTTGTTATTGTATTGGGCCGTCAGTTTCAAATATTTGCAGGCCCTTGTGGCCAACAGGAATTTGTCAACAGGAATTTGATGTCATTCCATATTTCCTGTGTTGTACTGGTTATAATGACAGAACTAAACAGTGTGAAACTGTGTACAGTGTAGTCTAATTTGTTTTTATTGGTTTGACTTTAACAAAATTGGCCTGCAGATTTCATTCAGGGCCTGTAGATTTTCAAGCCATCAAACCCTGATGGCCAACTGGCAAATGAAAGTATTGCAAACACTGGTTGTACTGGTTTCATTTAATGCATGTTGCCACTTTTCAATGCATGAACATTAAGTATATCAGACCTTTGTCAGAAGTTTGAGGGGCGGTGTCGAAACCTAGAAGTTAAACCGTTTGCTTGTTACGCTCCATTCCCATTGTGGATGGGTACAATGTGTGAAGCCCGTTTGTGGTGTCCCCTGCGGTGATAGTTACTCCTTTAAGTTGCATTTAGAAGTTGTAGTCAACATGAAGGGGGTTCTATGGATGTACAACTTCTTTAGTTATTTTGTAATTTATGCGACGTTTGGGTCTGGATGGTAACAACGTTGTTAAACCCGTGATTTTGCCCGAAATATTGCTAAAACGGCGAAAAACCATATTCAGTCACTCACTCATTCGGGACTGCGACTATGTTTAATGGCTTGGTTATATTAATGTTTTTAATGCTGATCAGTAAAATTAGAAGCACAGTGTTTTTCTACACTCGACCCTTTCAATTGTAATAACAAACATTATTTGTGAATCAAATGAAAATTCAGATTTTAACTCAGGTGTCTTTTGTCATCTACACATTTTCATTATAGGCTGAATGTACGTGCTCTTAGCCTTGCTCCAGAGGCTGTACTGAATGCTGAGCCCATAGATGTATAGTAATTCTTTCCTTTAAAAAGGCAAGTCTAGATATGCGGACAGTCTATAAAGGACCCCGGTCTCTTATTCATTTTGTTTTGTTTAAATTATCATTTGAACTATTTATGTTTACGTTAGAGACTTGTGCAAGTCTAGTACGTGCTGCTGCTTCTGCAACTACAACAGCTACAGCTACTGCGACTCGTATGGATACTACATCCAACCTTCGTACCATTAGTGTCAACCCTCAATGGCTCTATGTACGAATGTAGTATTGACATATACGCGTACCTTACAGATGCGCAGTGTGTTGCATATAGCTGACATGACGTGGATGTAACAGCTGACGAGTTGCAGCTGCAGATGTGATGAATGTCCACATTATGGACATCGAACATTGCTAGTCAGTAGTGTGGAGCCAGACATGAGGTATTATTCACAACTGTTTATGACAGAATTCCGAAAAGCAACGATCATAGCTAGCTAGCCAGCTATGCGAATCTGTGTTTTTAAACTGTTTCAACTCGTGATCATGGAGTGATAGCTATGAACCTACATATGTTTCTATATGTTTTTCTATGGCCCAGTATTGTTCGGGGTCAGAACTGGGTGGAGGGATTTGTGTGGGAATCTATTTGTATGTCTGCGCGCGCGCGCACACGCACACACACGCACGCGCGCGCACACACACACACACTTATAGATGCTCCCAATCGCCACCACCTGTAAAGTGTTCTGTACGTGGAACATGAAATAATAACATGTCATGTATCTGTGAATATATCTTTATTCCTGTCCATTTCCTCCATACACAACTGTCTAATCTAAGCATGTGTAAACTTATTTCAATTACCAATATTGCAAATATAGCAATTATGATATAACTATAAAAATTGGTCCCAGGATGACAATGAAAATGAGCGAAATACAAAAATCGCCGTTTTGAAATGTTCCGTTTATGATAACTAATATGCGTGATGTACATATAAATCTGACAAAAAGTTCCAAACTGAAAATTCCATTCTAATTATACACATTATGCACAGTTTTCAAGAATATATTTATTTCAACAATATGAGATGCAAATTTATAAGTATCTTCATTAACACTGTCTGACCCTCCGAGTCTGGTAGCAGCTTCACTGATGGAACCACCACAGCATCAGACCACCCATTGAATAGTTCGCACTTAAAGTTGGTCCCAAGGAAAAACACCCGTCAAGTCACGGCGGTGAGTCCTAAACCTCACAGCAATGTCATTAATAGAGACGCCCATGGACTATGAACTTCACACGAAACGAGTCAATGAGTCGGTGACTGGCTGGTCTCTTGCAAAATTGCTAAAATCAGCCAAATCATCTGTGTGAAAGGCGAGAAGCAAAGTATAAGATGTTTGGATGCTTTAAGTGCTGGTTACTACATGAAATTGCTGCTTTCACTGTTTCTCGTCGTTTGTGATCATCCTCTTTTTTCCAATGCTCATACCAGCTTGACTTGCGTGTTGATTCGTACCCATCTGAAGTCCAATGACACTTTGGCCAGCCTTTAACTGTTCGTCTGAGAAGTCACGCTTGTTTTCCTTTGATTCCTTTGGTCCGTGTCCGGCCTGAAATTATTAAACACATTTTGTACACAAACTGCATTGACAGGATTCATGGCAAATATGCGGTCCAAGCTTACGACAAATTAAGTTTGTATCCCATGTATCAAGCCACCCGACCTCCCATCATTCCTGGTGCTCTAGGTTTGATACATCCCAATCTCTTGTTTGGCATTGGAAGAGTGTCTGAATTTGCTACCAATGCAAGGACACAGTCCTTCTCACACTCTGAGAAATGCAGAAGGTTATAGTGTTGGGGAATCTACACATTCCAGGCAATGTTTTTGACTATTGCCTGTATTGCCTGTTCGCTTGAAGGGTGCGAGGACGATGAGCTGATGATGAACATAATCAGCCTGATTGTGTTAGGATCACTCGAACCCTCGTTTAAGTATTCTTTTTATTCTGTAAATAATGATATAATCAAGCATTAGTGCCCGTACCTTCCTTCCTACCGACTGCAGACAAATCACGACCTGGTTAAGATTGACTCGTTCCGTGAGGTCAACAGACTGGAATATCTCGGTTTCTTTAACATCTAATTTCTTGAAGACATCTAGTGCCAGCTGGATCAGCTCCATCTGTTTGAAACTCAGTGTGGAAGGAGTAAGCTTCTTAGCTGGAATGCTCCCGGGTTTCAGGACATTGGCAAGTCTGAAAGTCAAAGAAGCAAACCATAACGAAGTTGTTATAATGACAGTGTTATAATGACAAACCTGCCAGTGGTTTAAGACAACAATACACAGGACACATTCATTGGCATCATTGTCCTTTACGAACCTAAACGTATGGTGTTGACAAAGCTAGAAACATGATCAGGGCAAACCGGGATTCGTATCCACAATCACAGGTTTTTAACGTACCAAAGGGACGCAACTCTGTACAACTAATTACTCATTCGTAACTATTCGCCTCTTTCCGTGACCTGCCAGAATGACACGAGTAGTTACGAATGCTAATTACTGCGACAACTTGGACACCTGTGGATGCAAACTGATTTGCAACGACGTGGACGATACATGAGCCCGGTTACTACATGTTACCTTGACTACACTTGCCTATAATATATTAAATGTATGACTAAATTCCGAATGAGCATAAAACCGAAACATGAGCCATAAGAAGTACAACAATCCTCACTTTGCAAGAATAACCCCGTTCTTCAGCGTTTCCTGGAAGTTGTCCATATCTCCTGACGTGCTGAACGACTCGCCGGTCATGCTGCTGATCCACTCGAGCATCTCAGCGGCCAAGCCAGCGTCATACTTCTTGTTAATCTAAGAATGCAAATATTTGTATTAGACATGTGTTAAGTCATTTGGAGTTTTATTACAATGGGACTTCATACAAATGAAATGTGCTCCAGTGTAAGTACCACTTCGTGTGTGCCAGTGTATTGTGGCCTCATCTGGACGGTATTGTTCGCGTCATTCGGATAATATTGTGATGTCAGGAATGAATGACATCTCATCAGAACCGACGTCATAGATAAGATTGTTGATATCATTCAACAAAAGTGTTTTTAAGAGAGCGGTCGTGATCAATGCATTTTCCTAAAATTTTAATTTTCAAGTTCAATAATGATTTTTTTACGCGTAGGTCAGACTCTTTTAATCTGTCATTGTTGCGCCTTGAGCATATCTGCTGACGTGGAAAAGGCGCATGAAGAAATCTGCATTTTATTATTACTGACTTTATGAAACTCATGTTATGATTCATGTATCAAGTAATGGCACACTTTTGGCAAAATCAGTATGAATTGTAACAATCTCTTATGTTTTTAGGGGCGATGGGGTAGCCTAGTGGTTAATGCGTTCGCTCGTCACGCTGAAGACCCGGGTTCGATTCCATGCATGAGTACAAGGTGTGAAGCCCATTTCTGGTGTTCCCTGCAATGATATTGCTGGAATATTGCTAAAAGCGGCGTAAAACCAAACTCACTCACTCACTCTTATTTTTTTATCAATCATGTCAAGCCGATTTCTTTACTTACACATTTCATATATTTATGGATCTCTCTACTAAAAGCGACATAAACCTTTGGGGCGGTGGGGTAGCCTAGTGGTTAAAGCGTTCGCTCGTCACGCCGTTAAAGCGTTCGCTCGTCACGCCGAAGACCTGGGTCCGATTCCCCACATGGGTACAATGTGTGAAGCCCATTTCTGGTGTCCCCTGCCATGATATTGCTGGAATAGTGCTAAAACTAAACTCACTCACTCACATAATCCTTTTGACAACTCCACAAGCTGGAAATGTTCTGTGTATTCTTTATTACTATGTGAAACCGTGAACGGTGTGTTTTGTTAGTTTTACTTATATCTGTTTAAACAGTATGTCATTACAGCAATATCCATCCTATGATGAACACATGTAAATTTGCGTCACCCTCGGTAAATAAGAGCATGCAACGAGAAGTGCCTTGTTAAACCTTTGACGCTTAGTTTGGATAAGGCTAAATGGACCTGTCATGGGCCCAAGACGACATGTCTGAACAAGCATGCCATTAGCTGTTTCCTCGTGTGTACCTCACTGAGCGGTAAAGTAAATACAAGACAACCCATCACCCGACCAGAGCAAATAGCAGAAGAAGCACATGATTCTCCAGGGATGGGCTGAAGCCGGTTTGCATTTTCAGTCTCAAATGATCTGACCTAACTGACAAACATTTGGAACGTCAAGACACGGTGCTAGTTAAATGTAGACTAACGCTTAGTCTCTGAATATATATAATTTTGATTGTAACAAATAAACCCATTTAAATTGAAAAGGATCCCCAGAGTGACCAGAGATTCAGACCCTGAGGAAATCTAGACGTTGTTCATTGTAGACTTTAGCATTGCAGGGAGGACTACGCTGTAGGGGAAATAATATGGTTCAGGGACTGTGATACAGACTAGTTAAAATGAAACATCGCAATGTTACCAATCTTCAATTAGTATCATTCATTGATTGTTTGAGATTTTTCAAAATTGTTCTCTGCGTTTATTGCACTCTGTCCGGGATTCATTAATCCTGATCGATAATATTCTGCACAAAATTCTCAGTTTCAACAACCCATTTTAGAAGTTAAAAGTGACAATTACGCTAATGGGTTGGCTCCAGTGGATCCAGGTCAACACATATGAGTGAAATCTAACCTCCCCACCGGACCACAGCTACGTGATCAACGTTAAGGGATGAGGATGCCTCTGTGTTGCTAGGATTGGATTTCTGGATTTGGGACGTTTCCAAAGAGACCATCCTGAGCAGGGGATTATCGTGTAATCACTTATGGCTGAAATTGGAGAGATCAGTAGGCTGTGCGTCGGTTTAAGTCGAAGATGGACATTTATCCTGCTTGCTGAAGACCAACACAACACATGGACTGACCAGACTAGGAACCAATGGCCTGTTTCTGATCAAGAGTTATTGATTTTGGACATCTGGGCTCTGCTCAGTTATGGGTCGACCGGTTCTCCTGTTCACTACAGAAACAAAATAAGGAACTATTGGTACTGTTTCTAGATTCACACAACTCGACCTGCGTGGACCTTGTTCAGTCTGATGATGTGTGTACAGCAACTGATCTTGTCCTCGAAATGACGACAATCCTACGGTGATTGTCATTGAAACAATCCCGTGATGACTCTGGTATTGATCGGTTAGAGAAACCGCTGACTCAGCGTGTATCACCTACTAGGTGTAGTGAATGATTCACTGTTGGGCTGTCTCATGAATAGTGCAACAGGTTGTTCCGTCTGAACAACACATTAGGATAATCGAATGAAACATTTCATTATGTGGATGGAGTCATTCTACAGGAAATAATGCCACATTTAATTAGGTCTGTTTTGAAAACACTTACTTGTCAACATTCGAAATTCAGTACATTTGGATTTTACACAAAGTATAATTATGTGGTTGGCGTCATCGTTCAACAGGATATAATTAATGAGGTTATTTTGGAAACATTACTTAACTACAAGGAATGACACTGTACCTTACGAAATTCAGCACATTAGGGTTTTACACCAAGATTGATACAGGTGTGCATTAAAACGTTTTAGATGTTCTCTTCCATTCATCAATGTATACGCACGTGTGGCAATGTATATGACCTGTGCTTAAATATACCCCATGGTCAACAAAGCCCATATAAACCGTCACTGAATCTGATTTAAACGGTGTATAATATGACTTGTTCGACAATATGATGTGTTGAAAGTTTGCAACAGTTGTTACTAGCTCTCACGGGAAAACAAACTTCCCTCTTGGAAGGACATGAAAGCAAGTTATCATGTTGCTAACATTAACCCTTTAAGTTTCACAGTTTTGAAAAAAAATGAATTTGTACGTTAAATGTTGCCTGCTGAAGGTCATTTTTCTATCGCTGGAATGACTGTTTGGAATAAGAGAGACTGAACACCGCTTTTAAACACCACGTGTCGGCTTTATATATGACGGTTCGAAGTGATTCAACGTGATATGGGATAGCTCGAAGTGATTCAACGTGATATAGGATAGCTCGAAGTGATTCAACCTGATATGGGATAGCTCGAAGTGATCCAACTTGATATGGGATAGCTCGAAGTGATCCAACTTGATATGGGATAGCTCGAGGTGATTCAACTAATATGGGATAGCTCGAAGTGATTCAACTTGATATGGGATAGCTCGAAGTGATTCAACGTAATATGGGATACCTCGAAGTGATTCAACGTGATATGGGATAGCTCGAAGTGATTCAACCTGATATGGGATAGCTCGAAGTGATCCAACTTGATATGGGATACCTCGAAGTGATCCAACTAATATGGGATAGCTCGAAGTGATTCAACTAATATGGGATAGCTCGAAGTGATTCAACTTGATATGGGATAGCTCGAAGTGATTCAACGTGATATGGGATAGCTCGAAGTGATTCAACTAATATGGGATAGCTCGAAGTGATTCAACTAATATGGGATAGCTCGAAGTGATTCAACTGATATGGGATAGCTCGAAGTGATTCAACTAATATGGGATAGCTCGAAGTGATTCAACGTGATATGGGATACCTCGAAGTGATTCAGGTCTTATACGTGTCAATTTTCCTGAACCCCATCACCAAGGGCATTGGTAATGTGCTAGTAAACAGGTACTATTCAGTGCAACAGGGGCTTCGAACCAACCATCGTCGTTTACTAGGTGGTGTCTGGACGCTATTTTGTACAAGATATTTCAACGGCTTAGAGGACTGGGTCAATCATCCCCAACCCCCTCCTCTGAACTATGAACCAAACATGCATGAATAAGACATGTATCGACCTTTAGAACACAGCATTCATTTAGTTCTTTTTACAATGCGCATGCGTGTTACGTCCTTCTTTCGTGGTTACAGGAAATGTTAGGAATCCTTCCTTTATTGACATTATCTATTGTTACTTATAATTGTGTCTCAGCAGATATGTAAGGAAATTTATTTTCATTTTCCGTATAATTGATCAGAATAATAACAATTCTGGGTTAGTTAGTGGGAAAAGAGACGTGCAAAAACAACCAAGAGTTTTGTAAGCATTTTTTTCGAACAGACGGCATAATAGTGCCTGTTTATTGAAACGGTTTTTTCTGAAACAATTATGATCACTGGTAAGACAAAGTCGATACATCGGGTAGTATTTGCAGGCCTATATTATTCCTCATCAATTTAATCAACCACACATTCGACAAGTGTTCCCAGCCACCATTGTTAACCTCGTAATGTCTTATGATACACCAGAACTAACAGTGAACATAAATTGTTGTTTCACATGAGCTAGGGTAACACCACGTCAACCAAATACACATCCGCCAGAAACAACAATATATTTCGTGCTTGAAAATAAATCCATTGCGGAAGTCAAATTCATATCATGCTATGGCGTGGATATGTAAAGGATTCTGAAACGTCGACGACTATACTACAGACGGAACTGAGTAACGTATTTCCTGGTAGAAAAAACGTAACCTCGAAAAAAGCATTGTTAAAGCCTGATATTTACAAGTCAGCTTCGTAGATTATCAAAACGATCATCTGAACCGAAAGCAATAAAAGAGTAACCTGATATTCTCCGCGTTTATAATATTGAGCTAATGCTGCTACTCCTGCCTATAACAGTGCTCCTCTATATCACTCATGAGTAGCTGGCTGTATTTGCCTACTTGACCGGAGGAAGCCGTCAACTTAACACGTGATATGGGACACCCGCAGATTACTATCAAGGGTTAAGCGACACACCCTTTTGAAGACCTTTCGACTGAAACCAGCTTTCATTATTGGATGTCCTGTAGTTTTATAACATACTCTACAATTTCTACGATAAATGTTTCTGTATACATGGTTTATGGTGGTGTCTGTTTACACAAATAAGTCGGTGCTGGAATGCCACAAATTTAACCCATTTTCTGCGGGAGCAATGTGATTACCAAAGAGTTAAAAACCTGGTAGACCGACATCTAGTCCTTAAATTGAACATAGTCTACAGAAGAAAAACAGCTAAATTATAGTTATGAAATATCTTAAAAAGGAACCCAGAGACTCTTCATTTTCAGAATTTCCTGAAACTGTGGTAATCAAGACTTGCCATATATTCCTGACTTGGGCTGCATTGAGTATACCTGTTTCAGTGTCTGCATGACAGAATATAGGCCGAGGTGTTTAACCCTGTTTCATATGCCACCTGTCGAGGTATGATATGTGACATGAAAACGTAATAAACGTTCATGAAAACTGTTCACTACCAAGAGCTGAGAATAGTATAGTTAACGGATCTCAATAAGCGGTACGGTAGCTAAATGGTTAATGCGTGCATCTTCTTCTCGTCCCTGGTTTGATTTGATTCTACATGAGTGCAACGTGTCAAGCTAATTGTATATTCCATTATTTAGTGATGACAACAATCCTAAGCTCACCATGACACCCATGATATTATGTTCACGCCTATGTTTATTAACATTCTTTTCAAGGCATAGATATTTGACGACAGTTACAAGATACGATGTGTCGTGCTGCTATTCTTCAAGATACCACAACTTACTTACTCAATATGTTACTCTTTTCGGTATGTCCCCATGCATATTTATTGGAATTCACTGTCTGTTCACTAACACCATATCACGCGTTGTCATGCCTTCAGCATATTCAGCATAGCCTGGTGTTGTATAGATCCTAGTGAACATGACGATCTATTATTAAAAGGCATGGAGGTGGAATCCATTCGCGCGTTTTAAGGTAGTTAACCCCACAGGAGCTAAGCGATGTGAACGACATCACTGTCACTGATTTACAATTTGTTGTTACAGCTGAAACGCCCCCGACCTGACGGTAAAGCCACAGGAAACTGGAGATGAGTAAGAGACTGGGAATACAATGGCTGTATGGTGGCTATTGTGTTATAGAAGTAGGTGAGGGCGCTGGAGGTTGGGGCTAGGCAAGGTTAATAACTCTGTCCTATACATTTAACTATTCATACAAAAACGTTTAGGTCATGTATGTGATAGTAATACATTTGCGTCATATTGCATGCATAGTTACACACATTAGTTTCAGGGTAAATAGGCATACAATGTTCCCATACAATGCTTTAAAACTAAATAAATCCAAGCCTTAAGCTCTCGATTCCTAGAAAACCTGTGCACACAACATGCTGGAATCGACGAGTCGAGCATGCTAAACTTCTTTTTGAAGAGTCTTTACATTTGGCTCAGCGTGAACATTCCACTAGTCAATATCCTACGAATTATGCAGCTATGTGAAACACACCCGTAAGGAATGATGTTCCCAAGGCAGACAGCCACGAGGTGTTCAGTGAATAGGTAGACAATCAGGCCAACATGCACACTACGTCGACGCCCGTATGCGGTGGTTACTTTAGTACTAACATACAATTTTGTTCTAATGTTGTTAGAGTGTGTGAACTTTAGTTTTACCCTGTTATATCACGAGACGTGGCACCAGAAATGGGCTTCACATATTGTACCCATGTAAGAATTCAAACCCGGATCTTCGATATGACGGGCAAATGCTTTATCCAACAGGGTATCCTACCGCTCACATGTTATAAGATTCATGATAACCTATAGAGCTGAGCAATCGCCAACAGGACACAAAACATTTCTCCGAAAGTATAAATATATCAATATGAAATGTTATTTTTGTATAAGTTATGTGCTCTTGTCAAACAAAGGATTTGTTGTCAAACAATTATCATTCCATCATTGATAAGGTTGAACAAACATGAGTGGAATTGTTTGTTAATGACACGGTGAGGATGACAGCAACACAAAGGTGGAATCCTATCTGTATGTGTGACCCTGGGGCGTTTAACGATGAACATTCTTTCAACGATAAACTTATGCAAAATATTTTTTTCTGTATATATAACTCTTACACGTGTATGTGTTTGCTATTCATGTTTATTGATGTGAGCAGTTTGGAAACGTAGTTGTTATAGCGTTCCCATGTGACACCGAAGGTCAGGGTTAGATTCCCCACATGAATGTAATGTGTCATGTATATCTGTAATGTGTCACCGTTTTATTGCTGGAATATTGCAAAAAGTATTTATTCAGGGCATAAGCGTTAGTCTAAGTTAGTGAGTGAGGATCTCACACGGAAATAACAGTTTACTTAACTTTTTTATTTAAGCTGTTCGATTGTCCCCCTAAACACTGCAGATGGTTCAAATCAATTTCCGTGAACAAAATGTGTAAACATTGATGTTGGTTCACTAGTTAAGAGCCACGTTATTGAAAGGCCCAAGATCCCTTGAATCACTACGGGATACAGCCGGTGTTGATAACAGCTTGGTAGGAATGTACAACACTCTCCCAGTGTCTGACCTACATGATATACCTGCCACTTGTGAAATTGACACATGTACATTTCAATTCAGAAATTTCTACCACAGAGTTGTTTGTAGGTCTTTCCTTCAATAAAATATATGACCACGTTGCACATATGCAGACTACCTGTTGATTTTTTTTTTTAAAATGACAGAATATCATACCTTGTCCTGGGTCTCAGCGCTGAGGCCTGATTTTGTTGCCCGGTATGACATCTTTCCTTCGTTTAAGTATCCAAAATGACTAGTAGTTAAGTCAGAAATTAACTGGACGTCACAGCGCAAAAGTATCGTCTGCTCTGGTGTCTCTCGCTCTCAGCTCGGCTAAATGTACAGGCGACAATTTAGGCGCGCCAATGATTCATCAAGAGTCACGTGACTAAACGTGGGCCAGGCGGTGGAGGAACATTGGGAGGAGTCCCCACGACAGAAAGACTGAGATATTTCAATGCAGGCTCAAGTTGAATAGGACGGTGAGAAAACAAACCGTCACTGCTTCTAGAGGCTTCGACCGCGCGCGGGTCACAAGAATTTCCGCTGGCGTAGATATTCTCCATTTATGGTATTATTGCGGTTTCCGATCGATGTGACCACGCCTGTTATTGATTCCCGGGTTAATTGGACAACGATTTATCTCGGTAGATACGCGTCATCGTATTTATCTCATATTTCTCTATTATCTCAAGTAAGGCCCAAAATATTCGCTTTAAACTGCTAGTTATGGCTGCGGTCATTAACCCATGCGGTGTTAGAGGAAGTACATGTTTCAACAGGCATGCGTGTTTATTTGAATTTATCTACCTGTGAATGACCAACTGACACTCTTTCAGGGATATTTTGTAACCCTATATTGTCTGTATTTTGGGCCAAAGGCCTTATACTGAATAAATCTGTCTGTCTATCTGTCTGTCTGTCTGTCTGTCTGTCTGTCTGTCTGTCTTTCAGATGCAGCCAGAAGCTTTAAGAATGTAATTGTCATTACATCATTAACAGATAAATAGCCCATGTATGTACTTTTCAGATACCGAAAACCTACTCAATTCAGTAGAGTGATATTTGACCGTAGCTTGCACAAGTCTAAAGGAAATAATTACATGTCTCTAAGGAAGTGATTATTAGTTAAATCACAATCCCTAAAAGATGTAACTAAGATCAAGTGATCATAATAGAGAATTGGCTTCCTCTTCACACGCCTAGTGTAATGATATATCTTTCCGTAATAACATAGACAACAGGCTTGACTAACCTTTACACATTGTCCATCTTTACATGTACACATCTATCTTTCTGTCTGTCTATAAAACACTTACTGTATCACCACTTATTGATCAATGATTTTTGTTATTTGTTAAACATATCCTTCAGTTTTGATTTCCAGCGATAATCGTTTTCACAATATTCCGTTAAGCTGTTACAGTACGTGACACCATACTTATAGTACTTATGGTGACATTCAATATGACTAAATGTATGTGCATGAAAGACTATCCTTCGGATGTCCCACCCGGTGGAATGTTCCATCTTTGTACTTGAGGAGGATGAAAGTCTACTCCAAGTGATGATGCACTATTGTTTACAAGTAAACACCCAACACTATTGTTACATGTATATCAGTTAACACCCTACCTCAAACTATTGTCACGCGAGTCATCACTCCATACGTAACATTGATAACGCCCATCAGGAGATGATAATGTATCATGGATAGTCTCTCATCCTACATGACTGAACATGAATGAACCTACTTCTGTGGATGAACACACTTCAGTGATGAACTGCAGATACGTGTTCTTGCATAACCGAATGTCACGTAACAAAACCTTTTCTCTCCTTGCACGACTTATCCAACGGTCTGAGTCTTCTCTCCTTCATCCACATTCTCTCTTTCCAGTACCTCGTCATCATTCTCATCCTGGGGCGGTGAGGTAGCCTAGTGGTTAAAGCGTTCGCTCGTCACGCCAGGTTTAGTTGCAGAGAAGGACACTTACATTGGTGGTGTTTTAGTTCTTCAACTAGTATTGGGGCAGAGGGGTAGCCTTGTGGTGAAAGTGTTTGTTCATCACAGGAAGACCCTGGTTCGATTCCCCTGGTGTCCCCCGCCGTGATGTAGCTGGAATATTGCTAAAAGGGGTGTAAATCCAAGCTCACTCACTCATTCAATCCTTCTCATTCCTACTCTCCTACATGCCATTATTCCTACTTATCTGCATTCTCCCTCTTCATCCAAAAACATCCTCTCAGTCTATCACACTGTACATTCTCACTTTCTCTCTTTCCTTTTTTCTATCCCGATTCCGACTTTCTTTACATTCACCCATATCCACTTTATCTTCTTTCTCACCTCACTCTCTTACCGACTCTCTCATTCACACATTCCTACCCTCGTCTCATTCATGATCGCCCAAACATTCTGTCATTAAGATTTAAATTTCCTCTACATTCTTTCATTCCTTTTCCCAGTGCCTTTGCTTTTCTGTCTTTCTCTTGACCATGGTAAACATTTTGAATACAAGCGATTTAAACTTGTAATGAAATATCATGGTAACTAATGAATGTTTCTAATTCAATTAGTTATCTGTGCAGAATGTACTCTTCAGCCTCCCTATAAAGGTGATGACAGGTACCTTTATGATGAAGATAATGTGCTTCAGAGATGACCCTGCCTAATATGCACGAAAGGTATTGTAGTGGATGCATCTGTTTGCCGTGACATCTCCGTCATTGAAGCGAACTCAGACATATTTATACAAATCATGTTCAGACACACACACACACACACACACACACACACACACACACACACACACACACACACACACACACACACACACACACACACACACACACACACACACACACACACACGTCATGGGCGTTGTGTAACGAGACATTTTACAAAGACCTCTTGATGTTCAAAGGATAGACAAACAATGGATTGCTATAGTACTGGATCACAGAACACTGCTGTTCTGCGTAATAGGTCCATGTTTGTATACCTGCATTAAGTGGGGTATTTTTAATTTCAATTCGTTGATAAGGGACCGAGAATTTAGCAATTTGAAAATGCCTACCTAACCTCAACCCCACCCGAATATCACACAAGCAGCTTATTAAAAACTGTGGCTTATCTACGGATATTTAAGAGGTTTACATCTAATCGATTTATGCCTTACAAGTTGACGACATAATTCAGATTATAAGTATTCGCATATGTGTACCATATGATCTTTTCTTTGCCGCCCAACCGGCTGACGTTATGACCTTTTGACGCCTACAATGTCTGGGTTAATCTTTTCACTTCAGTTCATACATCAAGTGACAAAGAAGTAATGAAATTATATGTGCATATTTTTGCCAGGTCACGTCCACTATGAAAGGTGGCCAGGACACAAGTCCAACTACAAAGAGGAACTATTGTTACAGCAAATGGGGCGCACTGGATTAACTTTAAACCACAAGTGTTATCGGTCAATTCCAGACGCCCTGTATCTACCGGTTGCCGGAAATATGTTCTAATGAACAGCCTACATATGTCCTTACATAGGGACTGTGGTCGTGGATAGTGCTGGATGATACACCATAAGAGGGTTGGGTTTACAATGGGCTTCCATATCGCGTGAAATTCCATCGGGGGTGATAAATATGTCATTGATTTACGTCCTGCATTGATAACATTCCTGTAGCCTTGTTAAAATATATTCACAGAGGCGGCGTTAGTGTTGATAGGAAACCTTATGTGATGGTCACTTGTATGTGAATATATCATTCTGAGAATAGGGTGTATCTATGTGATTATTACAGTAACAATAACATAGTAACAATAACATAATCCAACTGTTGTGTACAACACAATGTATGTTATCACGTTCCTCTGTCTGTACAAGAATGACACAGTATGATTGCCTAATACAACACAGCGCCGTGTAGACTATTGCGTGAGTTGTGTATCTGTCTACATAGAGATATCAGAGGCCCTTTGTGCCTTTTGGTCTCCTGAATAAAAATATATATTTCAAGGTATACTAACGCTTAGTCCCTGAATATATATTTATAATATACTATACATATAGTTTTGATATTAACAAATAAACACATTTAAATTGAAAAGGGACTCCAGTGAGTTGGGAGATTCAGGAAATCTAGACTTGCTTCATTAAGCATTGCGTGGAAGGCTAGGCAGTAGGGACAACAGTCGGGGACTATGAGTCTAATTTCAAGATAATTTCAATGATATCGTCTCAATATAACTAAAGTGTGTTTTATGTGATGTCTATGTCGATGTATCAGAAATGTACTACACCTGTCAATTAAATCCGCTTGAATAAAACCAGTAAATCAAGTTAAATGGCCACTAGGGCTAGATTAAGATAACATTTCACTACATGGTGTGAAGGATCATTGTCAGAGCGACAGCCTGTGGTCAGAATGTTAAACAGTTGTACGTGAGTCTATTCATGAAAGTTTCAGCGTGGGGTTAGACAGGGTGAATCACTGCACCATGTCTGTTTAATAATAACGACGCGACAGCGCTTATGGATCGTTGACATATGATTTCTATCAAATTAATCAGATTATGATATTTACGATGACGAGTCTTCATTTATATTTGCCGCCAAAAAAAATCTATTACATGTAGTATATTATAGTACACACGTTACAGCTGCATTCTAAGAGCTGGTAATGACGCATATTAGTACAGAATAATTTATGTCAATATACCATTGGATATATTTTTTTTATCATCTAGGGGATAAGAATAGGGTTGGGGTATCCAAGAGCGATTACAGCGTTAGTTAGTGGAGACTCCGGTTCGATTATTTACATGAGTACAGCTTGTGAAACCAATATGTGCAATAATTCCAAAAGCTCGTTCACTCACTCACTCACTTTAGACGAAGTGTAGCCATATATAGCGTTTAATCAGTGATCCACTGGTACCGTCACTAGTTGACAGTGTGACAGATTTATAGTCTGTGGGGTTTATGTAAAGATTCATTGGCTTGATAACATAAAACAACATTAAGATAACTATAAATCTGTTGATGTGGGCAAACGCTCTCAAGTAAGGGAATGATATATTGAGGTTTATGTGGAGACAAACAGGGTCAGGTCTCCATTTGGTAGCCAGCTAAATACTCATCCCAACTTCAGCCCATGTCTACTTGACAATAAACTAGGTGCAGATGGAACAAGGATCCAATATGACAGCGAGAGAACGTTATGAGATAATGTCTTTCTAAAATTTAATTTCTGTCAATCGTTACAATTTCAAATTGAATACATATTACAGATATTCTCAAAACTGTTTGCACATGATCACGTCAGTATAATCCATTTGTCGACCATTGTAGGCATGTGTTAGTTAGAATGTTAGAAGGTATATTTAACTGTGTTGTTTGTGTTATAAGTGTTATATTTGCTATT